GAATGAGGCCCCGGCGGGACGTCGAGGGGGCCGGGACTGGGGGTGCCGGGGGATGGCTTTGGGGGCGCCCCGGCCACTCCTCGGCTTCGTCTGCAATAATAACAATATTAAAACAGCCCTTCGTAAAATGTTTTTGATTTTACATTATTCCCTAATGTGATGGGCAAGTTATTTCACTTTTCCAAGCACATCTGTAAAATGGGGGTGGTAGCAACACCTACTTCACTGGATTGTGGTGAGGACTGAATGTTTAGCATAGTGCCCAGCACCCAGTAAGTGTTAAATGGATGCGAGCTGCCATTTTTATTAATAATATACCAGCAGTTAGCATGGGCTTAATATTAGAATCACCTGGAGACCGACTGAATCAGGATTCCGTGGGAATTTTTTAAAAGCTCCTTGAGTGATTTGCCAGAGTTGGAGAATCACTGCACTAAATACATCCATGTTACATTTAAGAACATTCTAGCCCCCAAAGGTCACATGACTTCTCCCAGAGTACCCAGTGAGTATTAGTTTATTATCCCAAGTTGTTTGAAGGAGGTCCTAGCCAATTCCTTTAAGACCTGTTTGTCCTCACTTACTCCCCACCTTCCCATATGGACCTCACACAATTCTTAGTTATTAAACAGAGTACCACTCTCCTCAAACCCCCAGCCATGCCCTCACCTGGCTGCAGGGTCCTCACAGGACTTTCCGTTTGGTTTGTAGCTGGGCCCGGGTCCGAGGGGCCAGGGGGGATGAGGGCCTTGGGAGTTTCTGGGGCCCCCATTGCTCCTCTCACCCTCTGGGGAGAGATGGGGTCTGCTCCATTCATTGCTGCTATCTCTGAAATGACAAAAGCAGTCATCACTTTGCCTGACCCCTCCAGCAGTCCCCGAAGTCTAATCCCCCAGGAGGGAGACACAATCACCCTCAGAAAGAAAAATAGGACCCAATGGGGCCAGGGGGCACACAGAAACTGGGGCATCCAGCTGCCATGGAACACTGCCCCTCCCAGCCCTGCATGGCACCCTCACCTTGGTACCTACCTGGCTTGGGCTGCTCATGAGGAGTCTCTGAAGCTGGAGGACCTGAAGGTTGGGGTCCTGGGGAGCCCTGAACATCAGGGAAGTCAGCCTGCTTCAGTGAGGGACTTGGAAAACTGACTGCCCAGATCTCCCCACCTTTAGCCTTCTTGGGGGGCTCAGCTGGCAGCTCGTTGGCAGGAGGAAGGCTTCTGGTCAGTGTCAGGTCTGGCTGGAACCCAGGCTCCTGAGTGGATGCCACCTCAGCTGGGGATACTGAGCCAATCACAGAGGCTGCTGGATCCTGCTGGGTGAAGATGGGACCTTGAGCTGCCTCTTGGAAGTCTTCCTCACCCCCATCCTGTTCTTCCAGCACTGGCCTCCTGATAGTGCCTGAGTGGGGTGCAAGAGTGTGGGGAGGACCCTGGTGGGCTGAGGGGGATGTCTCTGAGACCCTGGGCTTGGCTTCAGCAACCAGACCCTCATCTCTAACTGGTCGCTGTCCCACTTGGCCTCCAGGCTCCCTTGGGGAGGGAGGAACTGTGGCTATCCTGAGCTGGAGTCGGGGAGTTGTTGGGATGAAAGTGAGATGGGGGGACCCCACTGGATGGGGTGCTGGTGCATCTTGCTCCAGAGGCTCCTGTGAGTCAGGAGGTCCTGTCCAGCCCTGAGAATTTGGCCCTTGAGCCACCTGGAAGTCATCAGTTACTGGGAGTCCTTCTCTCTGAGCCCCCTGGGCTGCTTGAGGTCCATGCAGGGCTGGGCCAGGGGGAGACTCTTCGATCCTTTGAGGCACCTCCTCCGCAGGGACCTGGGGGACACTGGAGTTCCAAGGGCTCTCATCTCTGGACTTCTGCCAGAGGAAGGCTTCGGGCTCTGTGCCAACAGGGCCCCTGGGGTGGGCTCCTGGGATCAGGTGTGGTTCCCAGTCCCCTTGTGCCTTGGGAAGGCCCCCGCCCAGGGCAGGGCCAGCCCCCAGAGACAGCAGCAGCAATAGCAGCAGGAGGCCATGTACATGGCCCCATGGGCTGGAGGCCATGGTCCACTCTGATGCCTGGGTCTAGAACCCTCAACTTCCAGTCCTCACTGGATAAGCCTAAAAAAAAAGGAGGTGGAATGACATGTGAGTGTTAGAGGCTCCTATGGCTGTCCCAAGGGGGCTGATGGAAAAGGATGAAGAGCGACAGGAAGCAGGTTCCCCCACCCCAAACCCCTTTCCCCGCTTCCTGGTCAATCTCAGAGTGAACTTTTAAAACTGCATCTCTGGTCATGCCACTGCCCTGATTCAAAACCTTCAGTGGTTCCCCATTACCCTCAGAAGAGAATTAAGACCCTTTCCTGGCCTTCCAAGGCCACACCAAGCTGCTCACCTACCCTTCAACACCTACTGGGCTTCCTGGTGCCCCATGCCTTTGCTCCTGTCATTCCCTCTGCCTAGAATGCCCTCTCCCTTCTCCTTTACTTGCTGAAATCCTGTTCTTGAAGTCCCAGATCAAATATCAGAGAGGTGGAGAGGAAGAGGCCCCTGCTTTTGAGGAGGGAACTGGGTTCGAATTCCAGCTTTGCCAGTTCCTGGGTGAGTTACTTTACCTTTTTGCATCAGAGTTTCAGTAAAATGGGTATAAAAAGAGTACCTAACTGTAAAGGGCTCTTACAATGCTTACATAACAGAACACATAATGGGTCAGGCCTATGAGAGGAGCATAAGTATTAGAGCTCTTTTACTTTTCCCTTTGTCCAGAAAGCTTTCTTAACTCTTTCAACAACTAACTGGAGCATATATTATGTGCCATGCTCTGTGGATAAAGCAGTGAACAGAATTGGCAAGATTCCTACCCTCATGGAGCTGGCATTCTAAGTAAGGGACAGACGATGAGTGATGTTAAATAAGGTGAGCTATGGAGAAAAGAAAACAGGATTAGAGATAGACGGATGGGGTGGGGGGATACTTTACACAGGGGTGCCAGGAAAGCCTCTCTGAGGTGACATTTAAGCTCAATGCTGAATGAGAAGGAGCCAGCCATTTGAAGATATGGGGGAAAAGCATTTGGCAGAGGGAACAGAAAGTGCAAAGGCCCTGACACAGGAATGAGGTAGGTGAGTTAAAGCAATAAGGAGGCAGTGTGGCTGGAGCTCAACAAATGGAGAAAGTGGCAGGAGATGAAATCAGAAAGACCGAGCTAGATCCCAAGAGGACTGGTACACCAGGGTAAGGCACCTGGATTTTATTAGGTGTCATAGGAAGCCAATGAAGATGTTAAGCATGGGAGTTTCACCTAATAAATGTAAAAGAGGGAGAGAGGCCAGCGTAGAAAGCCAGGTAAGATATGACAGTGGCTTGTTTCAGCCTAGACATTTCTTTCCTTGACACCTCCCTCCACCCCTTCCCATCACCATGGTCACATAGTATAGTCATCTCTTGTCTCCCATCCTGGCCTGAGGCTCCTTAAGGCTGCATCTGCATCTTCCATTTCTTGTCTTCAGCCCCCCAGCATATGACCTGCCCCAGCTATACAGTCCCTAAAGTTTCCACTCCTGAGAGTCTCTAGCTGAGCCAAGGAGGCAAGAAGGACCCCACAGCCAGAAGAGGGGAGGAGAGCTTAGGCCTCAGCGTGTTTAGGGGCGGAGGCCCTGCTCCTTTCCTCTGGGAAATAGCTGTGCCCACATCTCCCTGCCTCCTAACCCTTGGTGGCCTACAGACACCCTGAGAAGCCAATGGAAATTCCAGGCTTTCTCCCCAAGAAAATGCCCAGGCTCACCAAAACTTATGGACAATCTCAGGGGGCTCAAAGACCCCTTAAACCCATCCCCCAAAATGCGTTTAGACTCTGCCCTAAATCCTTGTTGGCTCATTTCTCAGACATTCACTAAGCTTCATGCTCTGCTCCTCTCCCAGGCTAGGTGCTGGGGATCCAAAGAGAAGCATCAGTTCTAGTGTCAGGAGTGGGGGTGAGCTGAGGGGGACTGACTGAAAGGCCCCTAACACAGGTACTCCTGCATAAAGGTTGCTGGTTCCATTCCCGGTACTCCTGTGTTGAGCTCTTACCCAGTTAGGCTCCTGTGCTAAGTGTAGCTGAATGCCCTTGATCTCATCCAACTCTCCCAACACAAGCAGGTGTGGGTATACCCATTTCACAGGGGAAGAACCCGAGGTTCAGAGAGGTTGAGCAACTCACCCAAGGTCACACAGTCCTACTAGGCATTGTGAAACGCGCTGTAGATCATTTTGCACAGGGAGGAGTCCAAAAAGCTTTGCAGAGGAGGAGACAGCTGAGCTGGGCCTTCAATAAGCATATGCCATCTGCTCACCACCCCAACTCCAAGAGATGTGGGCATCTGCGGACAAAGAGGGGGCTGCCCAGCACTAGGTTCCAGCTGCTGGAGAAATGTGGGGGTTTTTTGGAGGGGGGGAGGGCTATCTCCTTGTCTCAGGGTCTAGGGAGAGGGCAGTGCAGGGCAGCGTCTGGGAGCTGGCCCATCTCAGGTTACCTCTCGTCCTCCTTCTCCTGGCCCCTGGCTCCGCGCCTTCCCGCAGTGTTCTGGGTCGGGGTGGGCTCTGGTGCAGGCCCTTCTGCGCCCTGCTGAGACCGGGGCTGCAGGCCATGCTCCCTGCCTGGGCCCCACCATTGCCCCCTTCCTTTGCCAGTTCCTCACCTGGGCGTCGCGCAGGCAGCCCCCGCGTTCACCTTGCGCGTGTCCCAGCAGCCGCTTGCAGCGCCGCATCCTCCGCGATGCTCAGACTTGGCTAACAGAGCCTGGCGCTGCCGATTGCTGAGCCCGCCCACAGCAACCACATCCTCACTTAACCCTTTCCCCTTAGGCGTGGATTCCTCTCCTAGCCCGGACCTCTCCATTCTCTGAGATTCTCAGGGCTAAGAGGGGACCTAGGTCACTTACAGCTTGATGTGTATCCTTCAGATCTTT